GTGTGAAAAACTTAAAGATATGTTTTTAACTTAACCTCATATACACACACACACATACACACACAAAATTTAATGGGAGAATAAGATTTGTATGATGTATCTGACTTTGACTGAAAAAAAAGTTTATGGCATGTTTTGTTAAAAATCACTACCAAAGATATGAAGGCTGTGCATAATGAATGTTGCATTCATACAGAATACAGTGTGATCTCAATGTGATCTCAATGTTATTTCAATACTGAGTAACCCGATATGAGAGCATTTGTTTATATATGAACAGTAAGGTTTCCCCTGATTAGTGGTCAAGTTATGTCAAGGCTGCTCAATTGGCTCTTGCTATTTGAAATGGCTATTGTTATGGGTATCAACACTTTTGATGAGATTTTTAATACACCTGGTAAATTTGACCCCTCAAACAATTTTGGCAGAATCATGTTAGTCCAAGGAAAAATAAGAATTTAAACAAATAAATATTAACAAATATATTGATAGGACATTTTACCAAAAGAAAAAAATGAGAATTGAAATTAAATGTGAAGAGTTCAAAGTAACCTTCAATGTTTGTAAGTGAGTTACTTACAAGCTGATGGGAGTGATAAGAATATGTTTTTTTTTGTTAAATAATAGTTTAGCAGACTATTATTTTTAGTGGGAAGTGTATCTCTGCTCTGACTTCCTAAGGTTGACCTTAGAGATCAGATATAAGACAAAATAAGGAAGATGATTCTGATTGGCTGAACAAGCGTGAGAACGGTAGAAAAAGGTTTTTCAATGAGTTGTTTCTTAACTATCATACAATGTAGACATGTACTCTTTCATGTCTGAAATGACTCCCCAGTGGAGGGAGAGCAACCTTACTGGATAGTTAAAAAATGTAAACATCGGTGTGATTAAATAAATAGCTAAGTTTGAAATTATCTTTGTTGATGTCTTTTATCCCTGGACAACTACTAGCAATCACCGACTGGGAGAAGAAGAAAGAGAAAAGATAGAACATATGAGTAAATTGGCATGATGAGCAAGAGACCCCAGCACAAGGAAGATATACAATATTTTTATTAAAAAATCACAGAGAAAGAGATAGTTCTTTCAAATCTTGCACCACCTATAATTATTGTCAGGGGGTAGTAATTCAAAATCTTGCTGCCTGTGATTAACATCAGGGGGTGGTAATCCAACAAATACTCCCCCAAACTATATAACTGTATTTATATATGCATCCATATAGAGAAGGTAAATTCTTCTATGTGCTGTATCCCTTTAGGACAGGGACAATCATGGCTCTCCATAATTTTCTTTCCTTTGTAGCTGTTAGTAATTTTTTTCTTTTTGCTATCTCTCCTAATCACAGTTCTGTCAATCATTTACACAAGCTCGTTATAGTAGAGTGTGTGTTGCTTCTGTCTGTCCCCTTTGCTTTCAGGTATATCCCCACTGCTGTAGATTTCATTTACTATTTCTGTGATCTTGCCTGTGCCAAAGTCATCTAAAGCTGTCAGCATTTCCATTACAATTCCATCTGGCCTTGCTGCCTTGTTTCTGTTCAATTTGGCCAGTGCAGCTTCTACTTCGGTTTTCAGAATTTATTGGTAGTTCGGTGTATTGCTGGCTGTTCTCTTACATCGTGGAAGAGTTCTCCAATATACTCACTCCAGCATTGAAGAATTTTTTTCCTTCTCTAATATGAGCATTCCATTCTTTGATTTTAAACAGCCTGTTGATGAGCATGTTTTATGTCCTGTTAGTTGCCTTATTTGTTTGTGCATACCTCCTTTCTCCATTTCTGCACATTTTTTGTTTAGCTATTCTTTTTTTAGTTTGCCTGCACTTGGTCCTTATTTCATTGTGTAATTTTCTGTATTCCATTCCGTAACTTGGCAGAGTTTTCTGTCTCCTTTGCATCATGTTGAGAATCTCATCTGTCATCCATTCATTTAGTTCTTTGTCCCTTCTCCTTTGGGATGATATTGTTTACTGATGTCACTAAAGCATCTCTTAGTGCATTCCATTTCATGTTTCCATTGTGTCCAGTCTGCAGTTGGCACTTGGTTAGGTTTTGCAGTGAATCATTGCATTCCTGAATCTTTTGTTAATAGTTATGTAATCAATTTGGTTTTTAGTTTCCCCTCCTGGGATCCTCCATGTCCATAATCGTCTTGGATGTTCTTGGAACCATGTGTTGGCTATTACCTGGTCATTGGCTGTGCACCATTAGATCCATTTTTTCTCCACACTTGTTGTGGATCCTAGTCTGAATCCTCCAACTATATTCCCTGACCTTTCCCTGCTTACTTTGTCATTTAGGTCTCCCATGATAATGATGACTTCTTGTGATTTACAAAAAGCCTTAGCACTGTCTAGCATGAAGTAGAAAGATTTGATTTCCTCTTCTTTACTTTGTGCTGTCAGTGCATACACTATTATGATAGCTATGTTGAAAGGCTTTCCTTTCATCTTGACTATCAGAATTCTTTTGGATATTTGGGAGTATCCCAGAATGCATTTCTTAAATGTTTTATCTAGTATTAAACCTATGTTTTTGTCATTTTTCTCTCCTAGGTGTGCTTGTCACTGACAAAATCTCTGTTGTTAGGCCATCTGGTTTCACATACACTTAGGATATTGATTTTAAACCTGCTCATCTCTTGTTTCACATTATTTAACTGGCCTCAGTCATTCCATGTCCTGAGAGTTATTTTATGTTTGATGTGAGCAGTTGCAAGATAATGGTCCAGTGACACCTGTTGCTCATGTCATTCCTTTCTGGGTGAGGGATAGGTTCCTAGGAATTTTATCCCCTTTACACCTTTTATGCTAGCAGTCGCTGGATGACAGTCAGGTGACACCTGTTGTGCATGTCCTTACTGTGCAAGAAGTTTGGTCCCATAGACTTAACCTCCTTGATGCCATTAGGTTTCATCTTGTCTCTGTTGTTAGCCATGATATGTCTTGGGATTGACAGTGAAGTGGTTTCCCGTTGTCTTCTCCATGGTGGTTTAATGAGAAACCACCTCTAGTTAGCAGGCTGTTGACTCAGAGAGTTCCTCTGCCCTTTGTTAGGCCTTGTTTTTCATCCTACAGGTTTGCTAATGACCCACCTCACTTGGAAGAAATTGGAGTGGGGTAGTTGGTTTAGTCTCCAGCATTTTGACTGGAATACTTACCATTAAGGTGAGGGAATAAATTTTTTTTTTTTTTAATTAAGTTTTAACTTAGTTAACGTTCCATTGCCCCCGATTAAAACAATGCAATTATTGACCTATTATTTACTTGTAGTGGTTACCTAAAAGCTGAGTAAGCCAGATTTCATACACTTATAGGACTTTTTTGAATTTACAAACTAACCTAGCTGGTCTGAAAATTAAAATTAAAGTTAAAAAATAATATATGAATAAATAATTACAAACAAAATAAAATATGTCAAGACAGCATCATGGAAAAGCAATTCTTACTACTTACAATTGGAGCCTTGTGTTAAATGTTGCTAAACTCAATTCATTTTGGCCATTTAGTGAAATGTTGAAGGCTGACTAACAGAATACATATCCATTTCAAGAATCGCTGTGCTATGGTTGGTTAGGATTGGTGGGGGTGCAAGCAAGCAAGTGACTGGCACCTCCCCAAACTTGAGAATGGTGACTTTGTATTTCAAATGATACAAGATAAAGGAAAAATAAAAAAATAAAAAATTCCTTCATTTTCTTGCCTTATTTTATCAAGCAAATGAAAGTCTCACTCGTTGCCAAAAATTTTGAATAAGCTTCATTACGAATCCTATATGCTCTTATATGACTTCTTTTTTTAATTTACAAATTAACCTAGCTGATCTGAAAATTAAAATTAAAAAATAATATATGAATAAATAATTATAAACAAAATAAAATATGTCAAGACAGCATCCTAGAAAAGCGATTAAACGCTCTCATAAGAATTAAAATGTCCTTTCACTTGATATGATGTAAAAAACAAGAATACAGATATTTGTTTGGAACACTATCACAAACATACCATAAAAAATGAATAATAAACTTACTATCAATGGTTTGCATGTCCAGTGCTAATGGTATCTTGACAAAAATATGACTAATATCTGTCTATATCTCTGAGATGAGGTATTGTGATTACTTACATTATTTACATTATTCGGGCTGTTATCCTCATCTTCATTGCCATATTCATATTTCATCCATTGTATGCTCTGGCCTTCTTAAGATGATTGGATTTTCGAACCGAACCCTTTTTGTCCACCAGGATAGATTGTTCTAGTTCCCAGACTAGGACTATCTACCCCGGTGGAAAAGGGTTCGATTCAAAATTCCAATCACCTAAAGAAATGTCAGAAAGTACAATGACTGAAATGTTGTGATTATGGCAATGAAAATGAGGATAACAGTCCAAATAATGTAAATAATGTAAGAATATGTCTAATTAGTGAACTAAACCAATTTTAGCTTAAAATCACATTTAGACATTTAAACTTGCAATGATAATTGATTTGTTTTTATGGTTTATCAACCTTTTGCAGGTTATTTAAAGTCAGTAAATATTTTCAGATTGTAAAAATGTTTTTGAGATAATAATGATTTACTGGTACAAGTCCTACTAATTAATTCATAGCTGGGGCTAGAAGAGATGGATTCATACCTTTCTGTTATGGTCAAGGTTAGGACCACGGAAGAACAACACGAACACAAGAGTAGAAATAACAAAGGTATATTGCATGAAATAATAATACAAGATGTGGAAGGTATTAGTATGACTGTCAGTCTGGTTTGGAGTGAACTACTATCGTCTCAACTCGATTCGACCCTCTCTCTTGAGAGTCATAGTATACATAGTGTTAGGAAGAGTTCATTCTGTAGTTATAGGTAAGGACCCATGATACTTTCCCAAGGGTATTTATGCATAAGTTAATATAACAAATCTGACTGGAATTGGAACTTGGCTCTCTGATTTCCAATTCTAAGCCATTATCCATTATATCACCCACACATCCAAGTTTACAACATCTGGTATTCCCAAGCAATTACCCATCTAGGTACTGACCAGGTTCGATGTTGCTTAACTTCAATGATCATATGAGAAGCAGTGTTTCAATGTGATCTGGCCATACGCCTAGACTTGCAATAATCTATATCAAGTTTATAGCAATTTTTCTCACGTTGCATCTGAAGTAAAATTGTTTTTATTATTACAGAGGTTGTTCCACACTTGAAGCTAAACTGCAAAAACCATGGAACTTTTTTAACCTGTGAATTTGGGTGATGTACAAATCCTTTAGTGTAGATTATTTCCTATATATACAATGCATATAGAAAATAGAAATCTTTGAAAATTTTGGATTACTATGTAGTTACAGAAAAGCAGTTTCCCAAAATTTCACAAAGTCATATGTTGTTGACAAGCACTTATTAAGTAGGTATTATAAATCATTGTTAATGAGTTTAAAACATATCGTTGAACAATGGTTAGTAAGCATGACTCACAATATATTACTATTAAGTTTGATCCTCCCTAGATGCTTCAATATTGAGTCATTGTGCTGGACAAAGCCAAGATTAGTAAATATCTACCATAGACACTTAAACTTGTTGTGCAATCATCACCAATCTAGTCTTACAATCCATTGGTAGTGACTTTGATCCTTACCAGCTGTTTCTTGTATCAGCTTTGAACTATGCTAAACTATGCTTAGTAAATATTTAGACACTTACTGTACAATGATGGTAGGCAGGTTAGTATTGTAAGCCATTGTTATCTTTTTCCTTTACAAGTCACACAACTATTCTGATTTTTGTTAAACTAAATTAACTTAATAAATATTTGTAGAGAGCACCTAACAGAGAATGAAAAAGCAAGCAAGTATTATAAGTAAGTTTGATTCTCACCAAGTGTTCTACTATTCTATCTTTCAGCTAGAGTAAGCTAAGCTTAGTAAATACCAATAGTAGATTGTTCTTGTAAGTCATTACTAATGACTTTGCTTTTTACTTGGTGCCCCACTGTTCTAACCTCATTTCAGACAAAATAAATATTTATGCTACACATCTACTTGATAACAGTGTTTAGTAGGTTTGTCTTACATGCAATTACTAGTGAATTTGATTCTTTCTGAGTGCCCTGTTGTAGTGATTCTGCATCTGACTAAGCTTAACAAATATCTTTTTCTTTTTTTTTTACAATAATATTCATTCAGTACAAGACCCAAGAGCCATTTGAGGTAGAGGGTTACAGAGTAAGATGAACAGTTTATGGAGATATGTGGGAAAGATAGCGGTTAATTAACCCTAGATTTGAACAGGTTAAGATTGTAGTGATCAGAGAAACATCCTCTTGGGAGATAATTCTACAAAGCAACAGTTCATAGCAAGAAGCTGCTCAAGTGGAACTTATATCTCACCAATGGATTAGTAGAGAATGTGGGTGGTTCATTGCAGTGTGTGTGACATAATGGGTCTTAGCCGTGAAGATTAGAACTAGCAGAATTAAGGAAGGTAGTTTGTCTGAACACTTTCTATGGAAATAGTGATAAATCAGTGAGAAGCTTGCAACATTTTGTCTGTGGAAAAGGGGTTGAGGAGTGGAAAATAATTCATCACCCACAAGGATGTGGAGATTCTTTTGGACTCTAACGAGACTTGAAAGTGAAGCTTATATGGCACCAGTGCATGTCTACTTTACAAAGATGTTTGTCAACAACAAGAACTTGATTTGTAGCTTGTTCAAAATTTTCAGTAGAGTTTTCATAACATTTTTTGAGATTCTTATAATAAATTACTTTGCTTCTTACCAAAGTAATATGAAATTGTATAAGAGATGGACACAGACACAGACATACATGTATGAATTCCCAATTTGATCTAAAGTAATTAGATGCTGCATAAATTAGCTAAAGATGAACATTTTATAGGTAAGTGTTGCATACACCTGCTCAGGCATATTTGTTTTTCTTCAACACCCACAGATCCAACCTGTGATTGATACTACAACTGTGTTGAACTGACATTAGTTCTGAGAGAAAGCAGATGATCTAGCATGATCAGTAATTGAACAAGACCAGTACACTCACACCCTCAGTCACAATGACTTGAGACTTTGTGCTAGCACAACCATTGATGGCTTCTGAAGAGTTCCCCTGAAACCAATATTATCAAGAAATCAGGTCCTTTATAAACTGGCTATGGTGAGATTTGAGCCCAATTTATATAGTCAGAATGCTAATGATCTAATCAATCAGTGATGACGCTAAGCTGAGAATATATAAAATTTTTTGTGTATGTGTGTGTGAGTGTATGGTTTTTCAATTATATAGGATATTTTTTCAGAATTAGTAAAACCAACTTGTGTATAACAATTAGTAAAACTAATTTGCAATTATACAATTTAGTAAAACTAATTTGTGTATGATTCAGTTATAGAATTAGTTAAACCAATTGGTGGAAAACTTCATCAAATTAACTGCAATTTGTGTTTTTCTGTTGAAAATTTCCATACAGAATTGAGTTAGATATTTCAAGATATGGATTAAGAAATACCTGTAACTTAGTTTAGTAGTATTGTATTCTATTATGTACACCAACTAGATAGTCAATCTTTTATCTGTAATTAGATTATTGCATTTAATCAGACTAACCATTTATATGAAGGATGCTCTGAAAGTAAGGCCTTCTATTTATTTCCATGGATACTATGAGTTTTTAGTTACAAAACACTATTTTTCCACATAGTCATCACTATTGCTTATGCATTTTTCTCCTGAAAATAGAAAGGTAAAAGACTGACTTACTAATCACTCTGAAGTAGATATCCTATGTTGATATTTATTATATTTAGATTGGCATAAGATTACAATAGTGGGAAACCCAGTAAGAATTGATCTTTCAAATCAGTTTAATAAATTTACCTGACTAGCTTCCTAACTGTAACTCCAAAGCATATTGTGAAACTGATGTTTTAGAATTAGATATTACTTAAATTCCAAATAAATATATTATCCAATTTTTCTTCAAATGCAATTTATCATATTTGATGACTTATAAGATTCACTTTATCCCAGAAAAATAGCTAAAAAAATCCCCCTGTGTCATATGCAAAGTGCTGGTAATGTTTGTTGTCTGTTTGTTACCCCCACTTGGTCTGCCAACATGCTGTTAGGTGGCATTGTTTCAGTCCAATAAAAGAACAAGCATATCTTTTTCTCTATTTTTCCCTCCTTTCAGTCAAACATGGTACTTGGAAGCACCAACATGGATTTGTCCCCACTAGGGACAATATCTTTCTTCCAGGGCATCTGAACTCTCTCTCTCACACACACACACACACACACACACACACACATTTCCTAACAGCTAAGTTTAATGTCTTTCCTTCTTTTTCAGCTGTATACTCATTCTCTCTTTTTTTCAACTTTGATCTTCAAAAATTTTAATTTCAAACATTATTTTCTGTCTTCTTAATTCTTATTCTCTTATTGTTCTTTCTCCTTAATAGTAGTTTTTTCTCATGTTCTCTACACTCAGTAATCTCTTGCATTCTAGTGGCCTTGTTTGGGGTGAAATGATTAAAAATAATCCTTGTGAAATTGTCAAATATTGGTTCAGGTGAAAAAGCTGCATGAATAAATACAATAATTAAACTTAATATATATATTTAATTTCTAGATATCTGAAAAGATAAGACTTAAAAAAAACTTAGAAGAAGTTTGTTTGTAATATGTAATACTGTTCTTTTTCAATTACTTTTACATGTAAAATTCATTCACACACAAAAAAAATGAATGGAAAGTTTTCAAGTTGGTATTTTTCTTTTCTTTTTAAAATCTCTTGCCAACATGTAAAAACTTGAACTCATTATAAATTAAAGTTGGATAAGTTATGTAACAGTTATATTGTATTTGTTGGTTTGTTTGGAGTTTGGGATTTTGTTTTAAAGAGATCAAGTGATTGACGTACCAACATTTGCATATTTTAGAAATAGAGAAAATAAGTCATATGTCAAAAGGAAAGATAAGTGGACAAGTTTTATATTATTAATAAAATTAATAGGTCAGCATCTGTCTGCCAGTCTGTCTCTCTTACTTTCTTTCCCTCCAGAATTGGAGATGTATACCAAGACTTAACACTTTGATTCCCCACACCCTGATTGAAGTTAACTTCAGCATCCTGACTCCAGAATTTCGTAGACAGACTATCCAGGAATCACTCCATTTACTTGTCAGTGGTATTAGGAAATCATTTCACTCCAAGCAAGGTGGTAATGCCACAAAGATGCAAGGGGTTACTGGAAGTGAAAAAGAATGAGAAGGTTTTAATTAGAGGAAAGGACAATAAATAGAGATCAGGAAGACAGAAAATAGTGATTGATGCTGCATTTAAATTTTTGAAGATTGTAGATTGACAGAGAATCAAGAAACTGGAAGAGAGTTCAACAGGCAAGAAGTCCAAGAAAAGAAACAATTAGAATAGAACCTACAGTTATATCTAGTTAATTCAACAGTAAAATGATGAAACCTTGTTGCCAATCTAGAAGTATGCTAAAATTCATGTTGTTGAGGAAATTAAAGGAGGAAATTAAAACAATTGCCATGAAAATATTTACATAAAAGCCAGAGGGAAGCCACATCATAGCAGTGGGAAAGTGACTGACATTGAGATGTCAGGTCAGGACTGATAACATTATAGACACTTCTTTGGATTTTGTTGAGAATTTTGAGATATATAGTAGGAGCACCATACCAGACATGGCAGAAATATTCAGTGCATGAAGGAATGTTAGGTTTATAAATGTGTAAGGTGGATTCTAATGTGAAAAATTGTCTGGCATAGTGAACCAACTTTCCTAGTAGCAGACCTAGCAAATGATTCAATATTATCTTTCCACTGCATGTTGGTGGATATGAGTGCATAATATATTATATTTTGTTGTTTTATTCTAATACAACATTTCTGACATTGTATATGGATAAATGCATGCATAATGGGTACAATATGATTTTGGTATTTACAACAAGCTCAGTGCCCAAATTATAGCAAAACAACTATATAACAACTTGCAATACTTTCAGTGTTTAATCTTAAGTTTCTATGCATTAGATAATATTACTTTCTTACAA